GACTTACAAGTTGTAATTGCCAAAATGGGTATATTAAAATATTATAAGAGACATACCAGCCTAGAACAGACCCACCCTTCTTTTCTGATAATGCCATACAAAATAAAAAAAAATATTTTAATTTTTAATTTTTATTTATACATTTTCTTTTTTAGATGGGAAGTTCTATGATGCTTACATTATGTATCCAAAAGATACAAAAGGAACCAGCTCCTCTACCATGGGTGTCTTTGTATTAAAAGTTCTACCTGAGGTTTTGGAGAGGCAATGTTCTTACCGGCTCTTCATATTTGGCCGCGATGATATACCAGGACAAGGTGAGAATTATGAGTTACCAAGCAATTGAGTTTATAGAATCACTAACTGAAAAATGACAGATGGGAGCTAGGCCTGTGTTCCATCATTATTTAGTCACATTGTTAAGTTGTTCTACAAACACTCTATGAAATTACTGTAAGTGTTACTTGGAAAACCAAAAGCAAAAAATGCTACACAGGAGCACGCAATGTAAAATATGAATCGACTTTAATAATCCAAAAATAATATAATAATGCAAAAATCATAAACACAAGATAATTAATACAAGAAGTTTTTTTTTCAATAAAGAGATAATTTTAATACCGATCTGTTTACAAAGGAAAAAAACAGAAGACAGTGTGCATAATGAAAAATACAAAAGCAAAAAAACCCAAAAAACAACAGTATTACTTACCAAAAGCTGTGCGCACACAATGGTACAATGTTATGAGAGAGGATCCTAATTCCAAAAAAAACCCCTAAAAAATAGCACCCCCCAATGTTTTGGCAAAAATGCCCTTCTCACCTTTATTCATACCCTGTAGGAAAGCATTGGGAGACTGTTGTGCAAAAATATCACACTGCCTCAATCAGCATCTCCTCATAGAGATGCATTGAATCAGTGCATCTCTACAGGCAGAGCATGGAGACACAATGCCAGAGCTGTACACTGGACTAGGAAGCTCCTCTAGTGGTGGTCTGAGTAACTGCCTCCAGAAGTGTTACTAGACACCAATGTAAACACTGCCTTTTCTCTTAAAAGGCCATCTTTACATTAAAAAGCCTGCAGAGACAGGCTATTGAAACCAGAACCACTACATTAAGCTGTAGTGGTTCTGGTGACTAAAGTGTCCCTTTAGGTGTCCATAATCTGTGCCGGCCTTAGGGGTGTGCATGTTGTGCTGCCTCACAGGGCCCCATGGCAACAGGGGGCGCCATCCGGAAGACACAGCTCGCACATGGCCGGGTGTGAAGTGGGTTCTAAAGCAGGAGTCCGGTGGAGATTTTCATTATTCTCCACCCGGGACTATCTAATGAAATATCAGGCCGGGGCTTATTGAGCAAGGGAGGCAGAGCTAAAATGATAGCAGGGGCGGAGCATAACAGGCCTAGAAGCCGATGCTGCACAGGAAGGGGAAGCAGGAAAGAGTCCTTGCTGCCCCAACAACTCCACGAGCCGCAACAACTTACCGGACTCCAGGAGCTGGCCTGGCTCCACTCTTCCCTTCCAGTCCATAATTGAAAGAGGTAATTATGTGTGTGACTGTCTGCCTGTGTGTGACCATAACAGTGTGTGACTGTCTGCCTGTTTGTGTGACTATAACTGTGTGTGTGACTAACTGCCTTTGTGACTGTCTGCATGTGTGCGTGACTGTCTGCTTTTGTATATGACTGTGCCTGTGCGTGTAACTGTCTGCCTGTTTGTGTGACTGTAACTGTGTGTGTGTGACTAACTTCCTGTGTGACTGTAACTGTGTGTGTGACTGTCTGCCTGTGTGTGTGACTGTGCCTGTGGCTGTGTGTCTGTAACTGTGTGTGACTGTCTGCCTTTGTGTGTGACTGTGCGTGTGTGATTTTCTGCCTTTGCATATGACTATGCCTGTGCATGTGACTGTCTGTCTGTGTGTCTGTAACTGTGTGTATGATTGTCTGCTTGTGTGTGACTGTCTGCCTGTGTGTAAATGACTAACTGTTTGTGACTGTCTGTCTGTGACTGTCTGCCTGTGTGTGACTGTAACTGTGTGTATGACTATAACTTCTCCCAACCTCTCCGGGGTTCTTCGCACAGGGAGCCTAAAGTCGTAAGGCTGGCCCTGTCTATAATATAATATAATATTTAGGTGCTATTGACTTAAAGTTGCTATCTTAACAACTCAAGAAGGCAAAAGGCTGGATGCTGAGTGTTGTTCTTCTACCATCTTTGATTGTGACTGCTCCATCTGTTTTCCATATTATACCTTGTTCGATAGGAAAATAGTGAACTTCCCTTGTAATCTGCTTCTCTTCACATTTCATCCTAAACAAATCACCATATGGAGATATTTGCCCAAGACTGCCCATATTCAAAATAAAATTAATATATAATAAATAAATATATATATATATATCTCATAATAAATGTGTTGCAACCCTTTTCATTTCCTACTAAACTTGGTTATCTTACTTCCTAGTTCATATTCTCCAACATTGTACAGCTTGTGTACCTGTAGTATGTTTATTACAATAAAATAGTCTAACCTTTTTACTGTCTATTTTTTTTAATCTAATCTTTAATGTCTTTCTTTCCTTATTTTCACAGCCACTGTTGATGCTATAGATGAAGCTATTACTAAAAGCAGAAGACTTATTATTGTTTTAGGGAATAACTCTAGTGGCTATCGATTGGAGAATAACTTTGAGCAACAAATTGCAATGTATGATGCTCTCATTCGGCATAAAACTAAGGTTATCTTGGTTGAAATTGAAAAGATTTCAGATTACTCAAATATGCCAGAATCTATCAAATACATCAAACAAAAGCAAGGTGTGGTCAGATGGAAAGGAGAATTCACAGAGGCAAAACTTTCCCCAAAAACAAAGTTCTGGAAAAACATTCGATATCGGATGCCTCCAGAACAGCATCAGCTTTCAAAAGACTCAAATGACAGAATGTCTGAAAAGTTGTAGCACACAATCTGTGAAGAAGAATTAATAGAAAGTGATCACTTAAAAGAACAGTTTTCTATCAATGGCATACTACATGACACCTGCACTTCTAACGCACTTTGTGCAGAAATTATAAAAAAAAAAAAAAATTGAAACTAACTGCTTGAAGCTTGGCTCGTCATATATAGATTAAGTGCATTATGTACCATATAGGATAAATACACGAACAAAACACTGCTCCTTTATTGTGTTTCACAGTTTGCTACCCATAGTATGGAAAATTCCAAGGAGATCAAGTCCGTGTTATGGTAACAATCTGCATTTTTGGAATCTTGGGGGGACTATTACATTACAAATGCATGTTGCAAACAATGATGTCCTTTAAATCTAAACCTGGATATAGAGTTATTGGTGGGACCAAAAGCAAACTATCTCCAGTATCCTGCTGGTTTGTGATAACCACAATGTTGATGGGTTGGCACTATCACCCATTCCCCCTCGTCCCCACAAGAAAATTAGTACTTCATAAAGATAGAATCTTTATGAAATACTCATTTTGACCGTGTTGAAATCTTACTAAAATTTTCAACACAGTCATAGGTACTACTTTGTCTCTGTATATATCCTCCAACTGACTTTCTTAGACTCTTAGCAGAGCTAAGCAGGGAATTGGCTTGGTCTACGGAGAAACCCAAGGTCTTGTGGGAGCCCCCATAGACCTCAATGCTGTACTCTCATGCGTACTGTACTCTAAGAATGAAGCAATGGAGAGTACAATACTTTATTCAATGCAACTAGTAAAATGATACAAAAAATATATATATATTTAGTTGTCATTAAGTGGAGGCCATAATTACAGAAAGCCTTATACATCCAACCACAGTTTACAGGTTAACTGCTATTTAGAGTCCGTAGTAGCTCTTTCTGGAGTTGGGACAATTGGGTCCTGAGTGAGTGACATGGTGGACATGGTGAAAAGTGTCATCACGCACTCAGTACGCAATTGTCCCCCTCCAGGATGAGTTACAGAGCACTCCAAGTAGCAGTGAAACAGTAAACTATGGTTAGGTGTCTAGGGCTTATTGTAATTACAGACTTGCCATATTGAAAGATGGGCTAACAACCTCCAACAGTTGACAGTATGTTATGTGCATATGGATGCATTGGCAAGAAGTGCTAAGTTGTGTCAATTATTAGGTGGGAAGCCCAAAGGCTATTCATGTATTACTAAGATTTGTGTTGTGTAGTTATTGGCATTTGAGTTGGGGTAGCAGTAACTTTAGTTTAAAGGGGGTCAGCAGTCAAGGACAAAATTCACACAGCACTGTGTACTTTACTGTCTTGTTAACAGCCCTTATGAACTGTCTTGTAAGCTCAACAATTTTTACAAATTCCGATTTACATATATTACTAATATGTTTCTGACCACAAATATATATATATAGTAGCTCCATGCACTTTGCAATGATGCAAGATGCTCATGGTGCTAGTGCTTAGTATGAGTCTCAAATTGTTTCAGAAATGCATACAACCAAAGTATGCTACAACTGCCGAATAGGGTTTTTTTTTTTTTTTTGCTTCAATAATGTGAAACACAATACAAGTCTTTCAGTCTGCACTCTGTTCCTTCTTTTCCAGAAAATGTTCAGTGGCTGCAGACAAATTAAAGAATGACTGCATCTGTTGAATCTGGGCTGTTGATCACTTTAGTTTACATAAAATGTATACTTTTTATAAAGTTTTATCATATTTATCAATTGTTCTCATTTTGTATTGTTTTTGTTTTACTGGTGCAGTCTTATGGGCAAAGTAACTGTTGACAAATGCAAGAGATGAATAGGGTCCCCAAGGATCTTCCAATTTAAGAGGCTTAAATAAAGAGAAGAGGAAGAACTATATGTCTGAAAAGAGGAGAGCTTTATTAGTTACGATACCTTTGTCTAATTAAAGTAACAAACCTGGCGCAAATATAGTTTTAATTAAGACAGGAGACTCATATTATTCTTTAACTTTCTTTACTAATCAAATAGCAGCAAATATTATTATACATATACAGTCAGGTCCATAAATATTGGGACATCAACACAATTCTAATCTTTTTGGCTCTATACACCAACACAATGGATTTGAAAGGAAATGAACAAGATGTGCTTTAACTGCAGACTTATAGCTTTAATTTGAGGGTATTTACATCCAAATGAGGTGAACGGTGTAGGAATTACAACAGTTTGTATATGTGCCGCCCACTTTTCAAGGGACCAAAAGTAATGGGACAATTGGCTGCTCAGCTGTTCCATGGCCAGGTGTGCTATTTGCATTTGGAATCCGTTGCTGTCAACTCTCAATATGAGATCCAAAGAGCTGTCACTATCATTGAAGCAAGTCATCATTAGGCTGAAAAAACAAAACAAACCCATCAGAGAGATAGCAAAAACATTAGGTGTGGCCAAATCAACTGTTTGGCACATCCTTAAAAAGATAGAACGCACCAGTGAGCTCAGCAACACCAAAAGACCCGGAAGACCACAGAAAACAACTGTGGTGGATGACCGAAGAATTCTTTCCCTGGTGAAGAAAACACCCTTCACAACAGTTGGCCAGATCAAGAACACTCTCCAGGAGGTAGGTGTATGTGTGTCAAAGTCAACAATCAAGAGAAGACTTCACCAGAGGGTTCACCACAAGATGTAAACCATTGGTGAGCCTTGTCTGGTGATGTCTATGCGTTCCAGACTTCAGGCTGTAATTGACTGCAAAGGATTTGCAACCAAGTATTAAAAAGTGAAAATTTGATTTATGACTGTTAATCTGTCCCATTACTTTTGGTCCCTTAAAAAGTGGGAGGCACATATACAAACCCCTCACAGTGAGAATTGCGGAAGTGCCTCTAGCGGCTGTCAGTGAGACAGCCACTAGAGGCTGGATTAACCCTCAGTGAAACATAGCAGTTTCTCTGAAACTGCTATGTTTTCAGCTGCAGGGTTAAAACTAGAGGGACCTGGCATCCAGACCACTTCATTGAGCTGAAGTGATCTGAGTGCCTATAGTGGTCCTTTAAGTGTATGTATCTGCATGCAGTAGCATGCATACCATGGTTGCAGGGGTCGCAGCTGTGCGTACCCCTGTGACCAGGTGCCCGCCGCCATGTGTTGCGGCCCCGGCCCGTGCAGAGTAAGCGCCCACCTCTAATAAAATACTTACACTCTTAGGTATGGGTCAATATGTCCACAGCTTTAATTGTATTATAATAATAATAACAATAACATATGAATAACATTTTAAAGTCATTGCCCATCCCCAAATCCTCAACCATCCAACATTATCACTTCCCCACATATCAAATCACAAGGCAATGACCCATAATATATAACATAACATAGTAGAACAATCACGTAAATATAACATAAACAAGATCCAACATTTTCCACACGATCCTGGCAGGGGTATACCCTGATACCCCTACACCACCCGGGTTCTGAGCTACCAACGAGTTAGAAACCCACCATCATCTTGCCAACAGGTAACCAACCACATTAACCAGCCAACTAACTACTCTTGCTCTTCTCTTCCCTAAGCAGGCCCCTTTACATGCAAGAATCACACTATTTCCACAACCAGTGTGTAGTAGTGAGGATGTGTAGCGCTAAATAGTGTTCACTTACTCCCCAGATTTATTTAGGAGTACTAATGGTATTCAGGTAGCTAGGAAAAATTACAGAAATATATAGTGTATTCCGATATATAAACGTGATCATACACCTTATAATTAAGAAGCACTCACGTGGTTCAGAGCCTATTAGGGATTGGCTCTAATCACTCGCGCCTTGTGTCATTGAGGTGACACACACATCTAAATCCAGATGAGATGTATTCCTCAAAATAGAAAAAAAAAAGAGAAAAAGGGGAAAACTCGCCCTGGTGTTGAAATCCTTTTTATAACAGTAACAATTCTTTGTATATGCACAGGTAAAGGTTGCTTCTCACGTGAGTGAGAGCCTATGACCTGGCTCTAAGTGTATAAGTAGATGAGTCTGCTTAAGGATGACTCCCTCCCTCCTTAGGCAGGATAGAAGATGCACCAGATGTATGTACTCAAAATTCAAAAACAATATTTATTACATAGACATTAAAAATCAGTCTAATACATACAGTATACTGGTGAGTCCAAAACGCGTTTTGCCGATTCCATTCGGCTTTCCATTCGATCACTATTACAATTCTCCATCTCTGTGTGTGTATCGATCACTGTTACCCCTTTAACCTTCCTTATAACAGCCCGCCACAAGCTCAGACCATGAATCCTTAAGCCGTCTGAGCTCCGCCACCCTGAATAAACAAAGCCTTGGACAGCCCTTCCTGCAGCCCCAAATTAAACAAATTGCATCCCACATCTGAGAGATACACGCCATCCTGAATGAAATAGCCAGGCAGCATGTCCTCCAGTTCCTTGTGCCTGACTACCACCCCGCCTAACTTCAGTATAAAACTAGCCATCAACCCATTAACCTTTTATCAGTAGCACCCCGCAGCTGCCAAATCCCACGCATGCCGCCAACGGAGCCCGGGAACTATCTCCGAGCACACCAACTGAACCCCAGGGACCCAGGACCTATCCTATTTACATCCTTCTTCATTCTCTTAACTAGCAGCCGTCGCAGGATAAGTCCAAGGCCGTTACCACCCACATGCAGCATGAGCACATCCGGCCGCCTACCCCCCGCTACCATACTAAGGACCTCATTACACACATCCTACCAGCCATAACCCCTATAACCGAACTGTTGCAACTTAATCTGGTCCTCAGGAAAGCCCAGCTGCTGACCCCAGAAACAAACTGCAGCTCTCCTCTTGGCCCAGAAAATAAAGGAATGGCCCATGATCCAAGCCACTTAACTTAAGGAAGCAAATGAAAAATGTCAAGCACTGCTCCCACCATGACAAACCCCTTAGAGATCCTGCTTACACCACTTTCTCCAATCAAACATATGACCAGAACCTCATTGATTCCCACCATCATGGGCGTCCGCAGTCTTTTCTTTTCAGATTAGAATGCACTGCAATACCAGTGCCGACCAGTAGGTGACGCTGTGTGTGGAGAGAGGCAGGGATAGGAGGCTACATCTTATCGTTGCTTCTCTCTCATTCCTGAAACCACAGAGGAGCAGCACATGCAACTCCCAAACTGCAAAGACAGCCTACAGATCAGGTAAGTGAGGGATGGGAGAGGCACCCTACAGATCAGGTAAGTGAAGGATGGGGGGAGACAGCCTACAGATCAGGCAAATGAGTGATGGGGGGAGACAGCCTACAGATCAGGCAAGTGAGCTTTGGGGGGAGACAGCCTAGAGATCAGGCAAGTGAGCGATGGGAGGCAGCTTACAGATCAGGTAAGTGAGAGATGGGGGTAGCGTACAGATCAGGTAAGTGAGGGATGGTGGTTGCAGCCTACAGATCAGGTAAGTGAGGGATGGGGGGAGACAGCCTACATATCAGGTAAGTGAGGGATGGGGGGTGCAGCCTACAGATCAGGTAAGTGAGAGGATGGGGGAGACAGCCTACATATCAGGTAAGTGAGGCATGGGTGGCAGCCTACAGATCAGGTAGGTGAGGGATGTGGGGGGGGGAACAGCCTACAGATCAGGTAAGTGAGGCATGGGGGGAGATAGCTTACAGATCAGGTAAGTGAGGGATGGGGGGCAGCCTACTGATCAGTTAATTGAGGCATGAGAGGCAGCCTGCAGATCAGGTACGTGAGGGGTTGGGGGGAAGCCTACTGGCCAGGTAAGTGAGGGATGGGGCAGCTTGCAGATCAGGTAAGTAAGAGATGGGGGGGCAGCCTACTGGTCAAGTAAGTGAGGGATGGGAGGGGCAACCTACAGACCAGGCAAGTGAAGAATGGTGGGGCAGCCTACAGATCAGGCGAGTGAGCAATGGGGGGCAGCTTGCAGATCAGGTAAGTGAGAGATGGTGGGGCAGCCTACAGATCAGGTAAGTGAGGGATGGGGAGGGAGTCCACCTACAGATCAGGTAAGTAATGCATGGGGGGTGCAGCCTACAAATCAGGTAAGTGAGGGATGGCGGGGCAGCCTACAGATCAGGTAAGTGAGGCATAGGGGCAGCCTACACGAAGGGTCAGCAAGGAGCAGGAAGGTAAAGTAGGAGAAGGAGTAGAAAGGGTCTGCAAGGAGCAGAAAGGGATCAGAAAGAGAAAGGAGCAAAAGGGCACAAAAGAAGCAGAACGTAGTAGAAAGGTAAAGGAGTAGAAGGAGCCAAGGAGGAGAGAAGAGAGTGTCAGAAGAAAAAGAAGAGTAGAGATTGGAGCAGGAAGGACAAGTGAAGTGATGCCTCCACTACATTCTGGACACCACATCATAAGGCTTTGATACCTGGGCCTTGCAGTGAAACTTTGAACCTTCTCATCTCCCCAGGTAAAAATATCAGTGTTAATGTGTTCACTTTTATTTAATGAGAGTCAGGAAGCATAGTGTGCTGCTGGGTAAGGGTGTCGCTGATTGGCTAGAGTGGTCAGCTGGCACTCTAAGCCAATCAGCAACCATGAGTGACGTCAATCGGCACTTCCTGACACTCTGTTTCAAAAGTCGAATACCACTGAGCGACCTGGAGATGGAGGAAGCCTTTTGGGGTTAAACCATTTGAGAGTGGTTTAACCCCTTAAAGGAAAGAGAGCAGCCAGGGGCCTCCAGGCATCTTAGCATTTTCATTTAGATGAAGTTGCTACCAGAATGTTTCTTTAGTTTGATTAAAGGAACACTATAGTGTCAGGAATACAAACATGTAGTCTTGACACCATAGTTGTGAAAACGCTGTTCACCCTGGCTTTATGTAACAATGACTATACCCCTCCCCTTCATGACACTGTCAAAAAGGGGCCAAGCATGGATTTAATTACAATTATGCCCCCTCCCCCCTTGAAAATTCATGCGGACGCCCATGCCCACCACCCAATCTTCTTGACCAGCTCATTACCCAATCCTAACAGAGTTGCCCCAGTGGCTGCCCCTATACGGAATGAGTCGGCCGCAATCCCAGCCTGCCAAGCCCGCCCTGAAAGACACGGAAACAAGAAAGCGAGGAACCATCTCTGTGCATCAGAAAGGAACCTGGCCCTAGCGGGCATCCCAAATATCGAGCAACACTAGCCACCGGGCATAAGGGAGAACCCGGAAAGCATACAGCATGACATCTGAACCCCTACTCTGAACATCCGTTTTGGACCGGCGGAGATGTACCACAACCCTATCCACCGCGCACTGAATGTCCGAAAGCTGAACACCCCCACAACCAACCCGATTGGAGCTGACCAGCACCCCAATCTGAAATGCCCCGAAGAAAACCAAGAGGAAAGCACCGTCAAACAAACCCGCCTCATACCTGTTGAAGCAAAGCCCTGGAAGACCACGCACCAGACCCTCAAGTAAGTCGAGACCGACCGACCTCCGCATGTCAGGGACACTGCGCCCTTTCTGGAAACCCTGCCGAATATGGTTTAACATTTTTAAACCAAATGCGAGTGCAGATATATACCGATCCACGACCACAGGAGATGAACCCTTTGCCAAGTCAGAAGATATACCAGAGCAGTGCGTTCAACCCGGAACCCCATACCACCTCCCTGTCCAACCCTGCAATAGACTGCTCCCAAGCACCAGGGGCCAGTAATGACCTCACGAGTCTCCCAAGCAAGCCGTTCCGAGACTCCACATCTCCCCGGAGCAATCCTGACCGTCTGCCATCACCTCCTGTGTCTCCTGAAATTGGCATCAGCCAACACTTTTAAATATCCTGGCATATGATGCATGCAGAATAACAAGTTAAGTGACATACAGAGCAACACAAAGCAACGCAACAGGCGCGCTACTGGGGCAGAAGAAGCCAACATATGATTAACCACATGCATTACAGACATTTTGTTTGTGTAGAACACCACTTTCCAATCCCTGAGGAGATCACCCAAGAGAAATAGAGCCTCCAATAGAGGGAAGAGCTCCAGGAAGGCTAAGTTCCGCATCAGCGGGCCCGCCCAGGCCTCCGGCCAAGTCGCAGCACACCACCACCCCCTCAAAATAGGTCCCAAAACCTACACTGCCCAAGGCATCTGTGTACAGCTCTAGGTCTGCCCTGTGAAAGAATACCGTCCCATTAAAGTGCTCCAAGAAGGTGTCCCAGACATCAAGGTCCGCACGCATGGGCTTAAAGATCCAAGCAAAATGATGCAGTGACCGCACCCCCGCCATTGCTCGTGAAAAAAATCCGCCCCATCAGGATCACCCGACACACAAAGTTTCCCTATCAGCGACTGCAGTTGCTTCAATGTGACTTTCCGAGACCGACAGACTCCCGCCACCGCCTCCTGCAGTCCCAGGAGTTTTTCCTGGAGAAGACGACATTCCCCACCACAGGGAGCTGATTTCTAGCCCTAGGAAACTGAGACACTCCATTGGCCTTCAGTCTTACCTGCCGCAAGCGGCACCCCAAACACGCCGGCCACCCATTCGATTGTCCAAAGCAGATAGTGTCACACTGGAGACTCAGCCGGGCCCACGCAGAGAAAGTCATCCATGTAGTGCACCACTGACCAATATCCCGATTCCTTCTGAAGCAACCATTCCAGGAAGGTGCTGGACTTTTCAAAATACAAGCAAGAGATGGAACAGCCCATCAGGAGGCAAAGATCCACAAAGTACTGGCCCTTAAAGAAACACTCCAGCAGGTGATGACACTCCGGGTGCACAGGTAACAGCCGGAATGCCACCTCGATGTCCACTTTGGCCATCAGTGCCCCCTGCCTGGCCTTCTTAGCCAACTCGACCTCTTGGTCGAATGATGCATATGTGACCGAGCACAGTTCCCTGGCAATATCATCATTCACAGAAGCCCCTTTCGGGTGCGAAATATGATGGATGAGACGGTACCTCCCCACGTCCTTCTTAGGAACCACTCCTAATGGAGACAACCGCAGGACAGGCAGCGGGGGCTCTACAAATGGCCCTGCCATCCGACCCAACTGAACCTCCTTGAAAAGCTTTCCCCGAACCACCCCCAGAAATTCCCCCACCAACTTTAAGTTACAATAACTCGAAAGCAAACTCCCTGTCCCGAAACGGTATAACAAAACCATGCGTAAAACCTGAATGCACCAATTCCGCATCGTTCAAATTACCGTGGAGGCTTAGCCACGGCAGCATCTCATCTACTTTCACCGGCGTTAGGCCCCCGAAGAAACAGGTGCCGTCCTGGGCTCAGAGGCTCCCCCCGCAACACTGCCCCTCCCTTTTTTGAAACATCGGGAGCCACCACATCCGGAACATTCATGCTTGTGTTTGCAGGTAGAACCAAACTTGCACTGCCCCTCGTTAAAGAGCCAGCAAAACCCCTTTCTATGAGAGGCCACATGCTGAAAGGGAGAAGCCCTCTGAGCCATCATCAGCTTCATCCACAGAGGGAGATCCATTTGATCCCACCGCACCCCTGGATTAGCTGCCGACCGCTGGCAGAACTGCTCGTCGTACTTCCACCACGCCATCCCCCCATACGTCCGGTACACCTCCCAGATACCATCCAGATAGCAGAACAAGTAGGAGCAGGTGCCCAGAGACTTCTCCCCAATCACACTGGTCAGTATACAAAATGCCCGCAGCCAGTTCCCGTTTCTCCTCTTCCTCCTTTTTGGCGTCCTTCTTATCCTCCTCCAATATATTCCTCCAAAGGGAGGAGTGTGAAAACCTCCACAATCTCACCATTCCAGATCTTGTCCTTCATGTCCTGTTTGAGGTGCACTCCCACAAAACGTACGCGTTCTGGCACACCGCATCCGGCACACATCCCACCAACCCTGCCCTCTCACTCGCCGAATCCGTTGCCACGGAAGATGACCCCTCCACTGCGGAACCCTGCGGTGCTAGCTCCGCCACCGCGGGGACCCCTGCCTCCGGAGCACAAACCTGCCCCCCCGTCTGACCTATGTGTACCCCCCTTTCCCCATGCCTCAATTAGTTGTTGTATGGAATGTAACAAAGCAAGTAAAGATGCAGTAGGGTCTGACTCACCAACCAAGCCCACTGCAGGCGACAGACCAGAATTCTCTGCCACATCTCTCCTCACGCCAAACGGGCGACTCCACCTGATGCCGGGAATATCCAGAAGGAGATTGTTGCAGTTGCCCTAGGTTAGCTGAGGATTGGACCGTATAAAGGAGGCTCCTAGTGCTTACCAAGGACCATCAGCACCGCACTGGACACCATAAGCACTGCAGACCCCATGAACCGCCGCAGCTTGGTTGGGGTCTCGCCGTCTCCTACCCACCCTGGACCTACGACAAGGCTACAGTTTCCAGTGGGTGAACCTCTCTTCCTTCCAGAGAGCGAAGCAGGAACAGGAGCAAGCTCTTACAAGAGCTCAGTGAAGCTAAGGGAATATGAAGAGCATAGCAATCCCTGTAGTGATTATACCTGTCCCCTCCAAACACGAGTCAAGGCTGCGAGTTGAGGGTTAAGTAGAACTGGTTTAATGAGCACAAAGGCATTTCTTATATACAGTTTTCCCCACAAGGTTACCACCCAAGTGGACCTTGTGGAGCACAGGACACAAAGTTACAACAGCCAATCAACACAGTATTGTACAGTTAGACACTCCCAGCTAATGTACACAAACCCTCCCCTCTGCCTGTGATACAATTACCAAACACAATGGACTAACTCAATTACCACAGGCAGAAAGTATCCAGTTTTGCCCAAAGTCCAGAAACTCCTCAAAACAACAACATATCCCCACAAATATATCCCTGAATATCCCTGATCAGTGTGAACAACATATCCAAAAATCACACAGATCAGAGCAGGGGTTCAAAAGTTTTATGGAAGTCTCTTTTGACCGACCGCAAGCATGGC